TGGCAGGGCCAGCAAAGCGCGTGCGGGCAGCATGCGGGTGGGCAGCAAGGTGCGCGTGCAGAGCGCGTGGGCAGGCATGGCGGCGCAGGTGCAGGCAGATAGCGCGCGGGCAGGGTGGCGCTCAGGCAGGGCAGCAGGGCGCACGTGCATGTAGGGCAGCAAGGGCGCGCAGCAGCAGGGCAGATGAGCGCGCGCGGTCAGGGTAGTAAGGCGTGCACTGGCACTAGGCAGTAGGGCAGGCAAAAAAAAAAATCAGGTACAGGCACGAGGTAACGTTTGGTGGGCCCTAAGGAACGTACCTACTCAAGTGCCATGTTAGAATGTGGAAACAGGAATGTCGAGATTAGCAAGGAAGGGGAGCACAAGAAGGAAACCTAAAAGGGTTGTACCCCCTATAGCTAGCATCACTATAGCCTATCAGAATAACATACATATTCACATACACATACACATATGTTCGACACAGTGCAGACGCCACGCCGACCATGTGCCCACGTCTGCACCTGATCCTGCATGTCAACCTCAAGATACCACATCGAGGTTGGCTTCACCAAGAACACCTGGGCGGCCGTCGCGCACCTCGCAATACCCCGTCGCCCGTGTAACTTGGTCAACCGGGCAGCAAGGACGCCCAGGTCGGCGTATAGACGCCCAGGCCGGCGTCCAGGCGCCCAGGCTGGCGTCCAGGACGCCCAAGTCGGCGTCCAGACGCCTAGGCCGGCGTCCAAAACGCCCATGTCGGCGTCCAGACGCCCAAGATGCCGTCCAGGCGCCTAGGGTGGCGTCCAAGTGCCCGGATCGCCATCCAGACGCCCAGGACGGCGTCCAGGCGCCCAGGACGGCGTCCCCTAGTATAGTTGGTCGGTTGCGCTCCCCGCACACCCGACAACGAAGTCGGCTCCCCCTAAGCGAGGATGGGGCCAACACACAAAAAGGCTTTTGATCCCATCTCGCGCGGATATCTCTTCCGAACGTTATGGTCGATGGGGTTTCCAGACCGATTCATAAGCTCAGTGAAAGGCCTGCGCAAGGGGACACAGATAAGACTATTAGTAAACGGCTGGATGGGAGAAGGTGTGGAGGTGGTGTCTGGGGTTAGACAAGGCTGCCCTCTTACTCCATACCTCATTCTGTGTACAGTCAAGCTGCTGGCGCAGACGGTTATCAAACGAAAGATGGGAATCAGCAAGGTGGGGGAGCGACTGGCATATATCATGTACAAATAAGACACCACTTTGGTCCTGGAGGGCAAAAACCAGATTTTCGGATCTGCTTGCAAAATTTGAGTTGACGTCCGGGCTGGCGACGAACCGTGACAAGTTGGTTATCTTACCGCTAGGGAATAACATAGGCAGGAACGACCGGTCGGATGCACAGCTTCAGGTGGGCGAAAGGAGATGAAGCAAAAAGGTTGCTCGGGGCATGGGTGACTCCTTCAAGAAGTTGCCAGCCAACATGGGAAGAAACTGTGAAGGATATAACAAGGAATGTTAAGAAGTGGCAGCATAAATACCTCCTGACATTTGCAAGAACGTCGGTGGTTAACACCTACACTATGCTAAAAGCGCCATTCCAGGCGCAGGTTTACCCACCTCTGGCAGGGTTATGAGGCCCGCTTTCCAAGACCTTTCTGGGAACAGGGCAACGGAAGGCAGGGGCTTCATGCTATGGAGCAGGGAACTATTACATACGCTAAGGGAGTTGGGTGGTGTGGGAGTTAGGTGGTGTGGGAGTGCAGACATCAAACTTGGCTGGCTCCCATCGGATATCTTGCTCTTTTAGGTGCAACCTTACAGACATCCACATATTTGAGAACGAAGGGATTGCGCCACTGAAGCGATTGAAGCTGTTGTGGAAGGAGGGGCAAAAACCATCTGCGAAGCAGCTGAAGTGGAAAGGCATGTGGAACGGGCACATCAACTAGAAGATTACCATTGCCATTCGCGATTCCCTACCTACACCGAGCAAGCGAAAGGATATTTTGCTCCGAATACACAACTCAAACCTGCAAGTGGGCGAGCGGGAGTCGTTTCTTAGCAGCAAGTCGGTCTGCCTACATTGTGGAGGCTGTGAAACCCTCGAACACTCACTGCCTCTACAGTTGTCCGAAGATTCAAGTGGTGACTTCGACGCTCAAGAAAACCCTCCGCATGCTCAATGCTTCGCGTGTGATGTTCTCTCTGGGGGATCTGTTGTTCCGGAGAGCACAACATTTCCAGAGGCCACGATTATGTCCACCACACTTCATCAGCTTTAGTTGGAGCGTTGTGATGCTCCCTTAAGGGGCAAGAATTCTGGGCGAGGCTGGTGCTCCGGCGGATCAGAAGTGCATTCCGGCTGCATGCAAGGATTTATACGAGGACGAGAGAAGCAGAGTGGAGAGAGCGCAAAGGCATGGGGCAGGAGGAGAAAATTTGCTGCATGGTGGAGGAAGAGAACAACTTACTGTTTCGAATCAAGGACAAGAAGAGCAAGTCTTGGACGTGGACGAACGCCTTCACATTTGTCTGGCTCTCCCCGAGGATAAAACACCGATCTCCTTAGATTCCGCACCTAGGGCAGCCACGAGGTCGCCCCTCATGCACACTTTTGACTATTATTGTTTATGTATGCTCGCTATATCAATCTACATATCAGCAACCTGAGTACATGATGTTTATTTCCAAGTTCATGATTCGTGAACTTGAAATTGCCAAAAAACAGGGTATCTTACTTTGGTTTGAAAAACCCCTCTCTATCCTTGGGCCTTTTTCGGTAGGAAGACAAGTCTGACTGCGGATTGGTATAGGCAGCTTCCTGAGGCCAGATGTGAGCACGTTAAAGCCCCTAAAACCATTACATGCACACCAAACCTAGCCAGTACGACTTGGCTATTGAAATATTAATTTTGCAACTTGTGCTGGGTGCAATTCAGATGAGGAAGCCGTGGAAAACATTTCCTCCCTATGTAGATCTGTGAGGATTGACGAACTGGTTCAGATTGAACTGATTGATCACATGGGTACAACACGAAGGTATATGAAGTTTCGACACAAGGCAAGGTAACCAGGTGTTACGTGAAGGTTCCGAGGTTTGCAAAGCGTCCTCTGTCCGTCGGGGGTGAGTCTGCCCTTGGCTGTGACGTCATAGAGGACAGGCAGTTTGAGCTGGAGTTCTTAGCAGCCGCTTCCCCCTCTCTCTGCGCCATGCTGCTTTCCCTTGAGGGAGACCCCAGCGCCCTTAACATACCGACACCTCGCACGTATCGTGAGGCAGTGTCAGGGGAGTGGGCTTCTTAGCAGAAAGCGGCTATGGATGCAGAGCTAGCATCTTGGAGATCCACAGGCACGTACGTCGACGCAGTTCCCCCTCCCAGGGCGAACGTTGTCGATGGCATGTGGCTCTTCAAAGTGAAGCGGCCGCCTGGTTCACCGCCTGTCTTCAAGGCGCGCTAGGTGGCTAGGGGTTTCAGTCAGCGTGAGGGAGTTTACTTCTTCCAGACCTTCGCCCCGACCCCGAAGATCACTAATCTTCGGGTGTTACTGCTCGTAGCAGCACAGCGAGACTACAAGCTGCACTCCCTTGACTTCTCTACTGCATTTCTCCAGGGTCGTCTACACGAGGAGATCTAGCTGCGCCGTCCTCATGGCTTCACTGGCACCTTCCCACCTGGGACCCAGTGGAGCCTGAGGCGGCCAGTCTACGGTCTCCGCTAGTCGCCCTGTGAGTGGCACGACAATTTTCGCTTCACGCTTCGTAACCTTGGGTTTCGTCCTTCCTCTGCCAACCTGTCGCTGTTTGTTCGCACTGTTTCCACTCATTTCTTTATACTAATGTAATTCGACGACTTGGTCTTTGCTACAGCAGACAGGGCAGCTCTTGCGGAGGTGGAGTCCGAATTGCAGAAGAGACACAAGTGCACTGACCTCGGTGAACTGCAGCACTACCTTGGCCTGCAGATCACCAAGGACAGAGCCGCTCGCACCATCACACTGACTCAGTCACACATGGTGCAGCAGGTCCTTCGGCGGTTCGGGTTTCAGTTCTTCACCACTCAGCCCACTCCTCTTGCCGTTGACCACCGACTCATTGGCCCTTTTCCCGACGAGCCCTTTGAGTCTACTGGCCCCCACGCAGAGCTTATGGGCTGCCTCATGTACACGATGACTTGTACTCGGCCGGACCTCGCCTTTCCCCTCAGCGTCCTCTCTCACTTTGTTGCGATTGGGAGACACCGTTCTCTTCACTGGACAGCTGCTGTGAGGGTGGCGAAGTACCTGACGACTACATCAGGGATGAGGCTTGTGCTTGAGGGACTCAGCTAGTTGTGTTGACCGGTCACTACGACTCTCCCTACGCTGACTATTTGGAGACCCAGCGTTCGACTCGGGGTTACTATTTCAGTCTGGGTGCTCGGAATTTGTGTGGTGTCCTTGAGATCCACCCTGAGCTTGCTTTGCTTCTAGTTTTGACTAGTATTGTGACCGTCTGTTCACCCTGCTTGCTTTGATGCCCCTCACTTAGCTTATGGGGGTGTGTCAAATGTTGAACATTGTTATGATAGGCTGTAGTGAGTAGCACTGTAGAGAGTATAACACTTTCTAGGCTTGCTATTTGTATCACTCACTTTCCTAGTTCATGCATTTCCGTTCATTCTATTTCTGAGAGGTCGGAAAAAATTTATGGTTCCAACATGATACGTAATTGGCTTCACTTTTAGGATATCTCATTTACGAGTGAATTTTGTTTTTTTTTTTTTTTTCACTACTTGAGGCACGGTGCCACGAAAGCTGTCAAGAGGGTGCTCCAAAGAGTGCATAAATAAACACTCTTGAAATGAATTTTCAAAAACAGAAGCTTTTTATAGGTTTACTACGTAACCCCAAAACTGCCATTCATTTAAACGGGACCCGCCCTAACTGGGACCAGCAAGGACACACGCCGTTAGTGAGTCTATTTTTGACTTACAACGTAAGGCGATAAGGCACATCACGCCACATCACTCGCCTGCCCAGGAAGCCATGACTTCCGCTCTCCGCTCATCCGCGCGTCACCTGAGCTCCGCCCTCACCACCACCGCCTCCGCATTCGCCGCCGGCCCCGCAATCCCCCGCGCGCCGTGCATCGCCGGCTCTCTCGAGTCTGCCGCGTCGCTGCCGCGCGTCCCCCAAAACCCCGCACGGTCCTTCTCCCTTGCGCCCCCTTCTCACGCGTCGCCGCCTCTGCCAGCATCGCCAGCAGCATCAGACCTCCTCGCTCGCTTTCAACTCGTGTCATGCGCGCCGCGCTTTTCGATATCGGCGCAAGGCGCGCCGACCGTTGATCGGATCGCAGGCGCAAGCAGATCAGCTCCGCAGGTCTCCCAGCCGTCGATCTCCCGATCACCCCTGCCACGAAGCTTCGGCACGTTTTCGGCCCAGAGGCAGCGACTCAGCACCCTCGCCGCGTTCCCGCGTGCGCTTGCCGCCGGTCCCGTACCCTCCCCCGCCTCCGCTGCGCCGTCGCTGCGCGTGCACGATGCAGTGGTTGCGGCGCGGGCGGCGGGCGCGGGGCAGGCGAGGGGTGTGTTCGTTGAGGTGAAGAAGGGCGACGTGGATCGCGCAATCAAGAAGTGAGTGGCGGGGGGAGGAGGGACGGGCAAGGGTGGGCATGAAGAAGCGAGTTAGTGAGGCATGGAGAAGTGAGAGGTGCATTCAGAAGTGAGAGAGGCGTTTAAAAGCGAGACAGGCATTAAGGAGTGAGTGACTCAGCAAGATGAGTGAGTGAGCAAGAACTGAGTGGTGGGATGGGGGAAGGGGGAGAGCGTGGCCATGAGGAAGTGAGCCATAGGGGAGCGGGGAGAGGGAAAGGGGGGTGGGGGAAGTCACACATTGGCTTCCGTCCATGCTCTCACCTCACCATGCTTTAACCCACCCATGCTCTCATGCACGCTTGGGAACAGCCTTGGGGAACGGTCTTTTCATTCAAACACGGCACTGCAGCCTAGAAAGGCCTTTGGGAAGAGCACCAGCGAGCAGGTGAGGGAACATCTCATGTGTGAGCAGGTGTTAAAGTCGTGGAGCTCTCTCCGCCGCGCTAGACCACACCCAACCGCACTCGACCTCACCCTACTGCGCTAGACCGCACCCACCCTTCACCCGTGCCTGCGGTCGCTCACACGCCTCCTGCCATAGGCGTTCGTCGCAGCGGCTGGCAGCCGCAGTTGCCTCTCCTTGCCGACCACAACACAACCTAGGTTTCACCTCGAGTTGTTCCCACCTAGTGCCCCTGGGCTACTCCTTCTGGCCCCGTTCGTTACCCGCTTCACCGGTTTCTAGCTTGCTGGTTCAAGGTTGTGGTGACGGCGGACAGTGCCATACGTGTGGTGTGGCAAGGAATGACTACACTCTCATCTCATTCCCTTGTCGCCCTCCCCGTTTTTCCTCCCCTTCTTCCCTCTCTGCCCGTTTCTCAACCCCTCCCCTTGGCAGGTTCAAGATAAAGCTGAGGGAATGGGCAAACCTTTTTCCCCTTGTTCTTTCCCCCCTCCTCTCCCCCTTGTTTATGGATTCAAGATCAAGCTCAGGAGGGCCGGAGCTGAAGCGCCTGCCCGCCCGCCAAGGAGGCGGAAATTACTCTCCTTTTCTGCTCGCTCCTCTCCCCTCTTCCCTTTTTACAGGTTCAAGATCACGCTCAGGACGGACGGTGCGATAAGGGTGGCTCGGGCGAGGTCGCATTTCTGGAAGGGCGCAGAGCTGAAGCGCCTGCGCTCCCCCCTCTCCCCCGCCGCGGCCACCCCCTCTTTGCAGGTTCAAGATAAAGTTACGAACGGACAATGCTATTCGGGTGGCTCGTGCGCGATCGCACCACTGGAAGGGCGCGGAGCTGAAGCGGCTGCGCGGCAAGGAGGCGGAGATTAGGCGGCAGCAGCAAGACTTCCGGCAGAAGCTCGCCTGGATCATGGCCAAACGCGCCAGGTGCGTGGGATGAGGATGGGTAGGGACCATACCATGGCTTGAGGTGGGGCAGGCAGGGTCCTGGGGATGGTGAGGCGGCAGCAGCAAGACTTCCGCCAGAGGCTCGCCTGGATCATGGCCAAACGCGCCAGGTGCGTGGGATGTGATGCTAGGTGGGTGGCATGTGATGCTAGGTGCGTCGCATGTGATGCTAGGTGGGTGGCATGTTATGCTAGGTGGGTGGGATGTGATGCTAGGTGGGTGGCATGTGATGCTAGGTGGGTGGGATGTGATGCTAGGTGGGTGGCATGTGATGCTAGGTGGGTGGGATGTGATGCTAGGTGGGTGGGATGTGATGCTAGGTGGGTGGCATGTTATGCTAGGTGGGTGGGATGTGATGCTAGGTGGGTGGCATGTGATGCTAGGTGGGTGGGATGTGATGCTAGGTGGGTGGCATGTGATTCTAGGTGGGTGGGATGTGATGCTAGGTGGGTGGCATGTGATGCTAGGTGGGTGGGATGTGATGCTAGGTGGGTGGGATGTGATGCTAGGTGGGTGGGATGTGATGCTAGGTGGGTGGGATGTGATGCTAGGTGGGTGGGATGTGATGCTAGGTGGGTGGGATGTGATGCTAGGTGGGTGGCATGTGATGCTAGGTGGGTGGGATGTGATGCTAGGTGGGTGGCATGTTATGCTAGGTGGGTGGGATGTGATGCTAGGTGGGTGGCATGTGATGCTAGGTGGGTGGGATGTGATGCTAGGTGGGTGGGATGTGATGCTAGGTGGGTGGGATGTGATGCTAGGTGGGTGGGATGTGATGCTAGGTGGGTGGGATGTGATGCTAGGTGGGTGGCATGTGATTCTAGGTGGGTGGGATGTGATGCTAGGTGCGTCGCATGTGATGCTAGGTGGGTGGCATGTTATGCTAGGTGGGTGGGATGTGATGCTAGGTGGGTGGGATGTGATGCTAGGTGGGTGGGATGTGATGCTAGGTGGGTGGCATGTGATTCTAGGTGGGTGGGATGTGATGCTAGGTGCGTCGCATGTGATGCTAGGTGGGTGGCATGTTATGCTAGGTGGGTGGGATGTGATGCTAGGTGGGTGGGATGTGATGCTAGGTGGGTGGGATGTGATGCTAGGTGGGTGGCATGTTATGCTAGGTGGGTGGGATGTGATGCTAGGTGGGTGGGATGTGATGCTAGGTGGGTGGCATGTGATGCTAGGTGGGTGGGATGTGATGCTAGGTGGGTGGCATGTGATGCTAGGTGGGTGGGATGTGATGCTAGGTGGGTGGCATGTGATGCTAGGTGGGTGGGATGTGATGCTAGGTGGGTGGCATGTGATGCTAGGTGGGTGGGATGTGATGCTAGGTGGGTGGGATGTGATGCTAGGTGGGTGGCATGTTATGCTAGGTGGGTGGGATGTGATGCTAGGTGGGTGGCATGTGATGCTAGGTGGGTGGGATGTGATGCTAGGTGGGTGGGATGTGATGCTAGGTGGGTGGCATGTGATGCTAGGTGGGTGGGATCTTGGCCAGGCGTTCAAGGTACGGTGGGATGAGGAGGGATGTGGGCAAGCTTCCAGGTGGGGTAGTGTGCTGGGGAGAGAGTGCAGCAGTGAGCATGGATGCATGGGGAAGGAGGGTCATGGCTCTTTGCGGGTGGGATCATGGGCTCATGCTTGGAGTGGTATGGGCTGTCCCTCCAGGCTGGGCAGTCCCTCCAGGTATGGGCAGTCCCTCCAGGTATGGGCAATCTCTGCAGGTATGGGCAATCCCTGCAAGTATGGGCAATTTCTGCAGGTATGGGCAATCATTGCAGGCATGGGCAAACGAGTGGGATGATGGGATGTGGGGTGATGCATGGGATGGGTGAGCTGTGCACGTGGGATGTGGGGCGATGGGGAGGTAATGTACCTCTGACGTCATACAAAGAAGAACGCTTGTTGCCATCTGAATGAGTGTTTTCTATCAGGAATATCGTGCCTTTTACTGAAGCACACAACTTTTTCGCATCATCTTGTTCTGTGTATGCTTTTGTTTGGTCTCACTTAACCTCCATATGACTCATCCTTCGTTCTGTGTATACCCAACAGTTGCCTTTTACGAAATCTCTTTCCATGCTTTCATCGCGACTGGAACCAGTACTGATTCATACAGTACCCAATTTGCCTTGCATTCCCAAACCTTTTCTATGTTCTGCTCTGAACCTTCTTTTGACGCTGTGCAGGGGATTCTGATGCAAAGGTCACAAAATGTTTCGCACTGCCCTTACCTTCTGGCCACGGTATCTGTCCAAAGGCACAAAAAGTCTAGGATTATCAAAATTCGTACCCAAGTGGTCAACGATACTTCTCCCGTCCATGTGAGGAGGTCTCGAAGATCACATTCACATGGCAACCCACACTAGACTCTCAAATTGGTTTTGGTTTTGGGCCAGGGCTCTAAGAGATCTACTTAGCGACACAGAGGTGTGCCATTCTCGAGAATGAGTGAACTAGGCAAGAGGTGAGTACAAGTACCGTATGGCCCCAGATAGTAGCGCATATGCGCTTATAAAAAAAATCATTTTTTTTTTAGGGGGGGCGCTTGTAATTGAGTAACGGCCATAAGCGCCGGCGCTTATATAATGAAAGATAAGAAATTATATATTTAGAGCACCAAATTGTTCATTTTCTTCTTGCCATTTCAAGTTTCAACCGAGTCGAAATGTTATAGCATCGCAAAGCAGAATCTCGCGCAAGCGATATTCTGGGTTCACACAAAGGCGAAGACACGTCATGCCAGCACATCCTGACTGGACGCGAAGCCAGTCAGGTCTTCGCGGGTCAAACGAGGCGAAATTGAAATCTGACTCGCTGCAAAAATGTATTTCGTTACCGTTTTAAGTAAGAAATTAGATTAAAATTACACATGCGCTTATAATATGTTAAGGTTTTCTAGGGGGGGGGGGGCTTATAATCGAGGAACGGCCATAAGCGCCATGCTCCAGATAGAGGCGCCGACGCCTTTAATCGGACGGCGCCTACATCCGGGGCCATACGGTAGGAGAAACCTAACCCTAAAGTGTTGTACTCACTAAGGAGTGACCTTACTGTAGCCTAGAGATACAATTGTAATTTGACGCACCTCCATAGGCAAAGTAGGGGACAGCAAACACAACAAGTGGTCACAAGACCAGTCTGCAGAAGAGAACACAGCTCAGGGTGGATCACAAAGTCACCACGCTTTCTGAGCACAAGCAAGTGGCCACAAGGCCAGTTCACATGCAGAGATATATAATAGCAAGGCAGTACACGGATCACAACCTAGCAAGAGAAAACATGCAGGTATGAGAAATATAGCAATGTATAACAAGAGCAAGTCAAGCAAACAACAGGTGAGGCAGAGTGGGCACAAGCCCAAGAGCAGTGTAGAAACGGTGATGATCACCAGACCCAAGGGCCTTGGTGAAGACATCAGCAGTGTTGGCCCGAGAGGCCACGAAAGCAAGGCGCAGCTGACCACGCTGCTGCAGCTCACGTGCAAGAAAAGTAGTGAAGAGCAATGTGCTTCGTTCGGTGCTCCAGTCTCTGCTCGCGACACAAGGCAAGCATTGCCTTGTTGTCGACGTACAGAACTGGAGGTGAACGAGGCCGCACCCCCAAGCCGGTCAGCAAGTAGGTCAGCTAGCGTAGCTCCTGTGTAGCCATGGCCTCAGCATAGATCTCGGCCTCACAGCTGGAACCAAGCACAGAAGAAGAACGAGTGGACCTCCACGAGACAGAACCAGAGCGAAGACTGAAGGTGTAACCATGTGACAAACACTGAGTCGTCCGGTCGTCGGCCCAAGAAGCGTCAGAGTGTCCTGTGAGGACCACCGAACCCCGTCCTCCAAGCACGAGCCCCATGCCTGATGTGCTGCACAAGTAACGCAGTACCCTCTTCGCAGCATCAAAGTGCACCTTTCGATGTCTACCGGGTGCCACGTAGCGAGCTTGGAGGCTGAGAGGGTACTCGAGGTCAGGTCGTCTGCATGTCATCAGGTACATGAGGCAACCCACAAGGTCTGGGTACAGACCACTCGGCTCTACGGACTCGTTCGAAGGTGGAGCTCAGAGCGAGTGGCCGGTAGACAGAGGAGTGGGCTGTGGCGAGCACCACGTGAAACGGAAGCGCTGAAGGACCTGCTGCACCATGTGTGACTGAGTCAGGGTGATGGTGCGCCGTGCTTTGTCCCGGGTGATCTTCAAGCCAAGATAGCTCTGCAGCTCACCTAGGTCAGTGTAGGTGTGTCTCTCCTGCAGCTTCGCCTTCACTAGGGTCAGTGCCTCAGTGTCACTAGTAGCAAAAACCAAGTCGTCCACGTACACGAGGATGTAGAACGGCGGCAGAGTAGTGTCGGTGCATCGAAACAGCGACGGGTCAGCAGAGGAAGGAGCAAACCCAAGAGCCGCAAGTGTCGCCCTCAGTGTGTCGTGCCACTCATAGGGCGCCTGACGCAGGCCGTACACTGGTCACCGTAGGCTCCACTGGGTACCCTCAGGAAACGACCCAGTGAAGCCCTGTGGACGGCACAACCAGATGGCCTCGTGAAGGCTACCCTGCAAGAAAGCTGTCGAGAAGTCGAGGGAGTGCACCTCGTAGTCACGCTGAGCTGCAACGTGTAGCAACACCCGAAGAGTGGTCATCTTCGGGGTGGGAGAGAAGGTCTGAAAGAAGTCGACCCCCTCACGCTGACTGAAGCCTCGAGCAACGTAACGTGCCTTGAAGGCAGGCGGAGAACCCAGCATTCGCTACACCCTGAAAATCCACGTGCCACTGACGATGTTCGCCCCAAGTGGGGGAACCTCGTCGACGTAGGTGCCTGTGGACTTCCAGGGAGCCATCTCTGCATCCATGGGTGTCTGCCACGAAGAGGAGTACTCACCCGAAATCGCCTTCCTGTAGGAGCGCGGGGTGGGGATGTCAAATGCATCCGGGTCTCCCTCAGGGGCAAGCAGCATGGTCGCGTGATGGGGTGAAGCGGCAGCAAATCACTCCAGCTCCTCCTGTCTATCCTCAAGAACGTCACACCCAAGGGCAGTACAGGCAAGAGCAGTCTCATCCCCGACGGACGGAGGACAGGCAGGGACAGGGTTAGAGACAAGACTCGCAAGGTAGTCTAGGCAGTACACAGCAGCAAAGTCAACGAGCTCAGCTATGAGGGCGGACGCAGCAGGACACGAGAATGTAGGGTCCGTCACAACCGTAGCAAGAAGACGAGTAATAGTCGGACTGGACGCACGAGCAAGGTCAGGCGGAGGGTCAGCAACGTTAGGCAGAGAGGACGCAAGAGGTAACGGTAGGACGACACGCTGAGGAACAGAGGAAGGGAGTGTCATATCATGAGTGCCGGGGACAGCCGGAGCACGCGGGTGACGAACACGAGGAACACGAGCACGGACAGCAGCTCTAGGCTCAGGCTCAAGGTCAAAGCTAGACTCAAGCTTTCGACGCTCAGGGGTGGACGCACGAGTCTCAGGCTCTCGACGCTCAGCCAGGGACTGTGTCACCGCAGTGTAAGGAGCAGGAGCAGGCAGTGGGGAGTGCGGTAGCAGTGGCGACTGTGACTGGTCCGCCGGTGGAAACAGTAACTGAGGAGTAGTACCTGCCATAGGGAAGTCAGTAGCACCTGGCGGAAGACTGAGAAGGTGGCGAAGAGCACCAGCAGCTCCTCCAGTACCCCCAGCAACACCTCCAACACTAGTAGCACCAGCGCCTCCAGCACCAGCAGCTCTAGTACCTCCTGCACCATCAGCACCTCTAGTACCTCCAGTAGTACCTCCAGCACCTCCAGCACCAGCACCACCTCCTGGACTAGTAGCTCCAGCACCAGCAGGACCGTACCCTCCACCACCAGGACTGCCTCGCAGAACGACCCACGCACGAATCGCTTGCTGCGAGAGCGTCTGGAGTAGAGCAGGCTGCGGTGGCTGTCCAGCTCCAGTACCTCCAGTAGTGGTAGCTCTAGCACCTCCAGCCCCAGAAGCACCTCTAGTACCTCCAGCTCCAGCACCTCCAGCACCAGCAGCAGCTCCAGTACCTCCAGCACCAGTAGTACCTCTGGTACCTCCAGTAGGACCTCCAGGCCTAGTAGCTCTAGTACCTCCAGCTCCAAGACCTCCAGAAGGACTCGTAGCACCCCCGGAGTCAGCACACGAAGTCTCAGCACCCCCAGAGTAAGCACCCTCAGGCTCAGCACCCTTAGTCTCAGCACCCTCAGTCTCAGCACCCTCAATCTCAGCACCCTCAGTCCCAGCACCCTCAGGCTCAGTACCCTCACTCTCTGCTCCAGTGTCCACAGCAGTAGGCTGCAAAGGCGGCGAAGACGGCAGAGGTGGGAACCCCGGGGGGGGGGGGGTAGCCAGACGAGGAGAGCAGTCACCACCACCCCCAGTCCCAGCTCCAGTAGTCTCAGCTCCAGAGTCCACAACAGCAGGCTGCGGAGGCGGCGAAGACGGCCGTGGCGAGAAACCCGGGGGGGTCGCCAAGCGAGGAGTGCGGCGAGTGGTCGCCGTGTCGTCGGCTACGGTGTCACCCCCCTCAGGTGAGTCAGAGGAGTTAGAGGAGATCTCAACTGGCTCATCCAAGAAGGTTGGGTCTACCTGGGACACACCTGAGGGAGCAGGACCCTGTGGGGGGAGGGGGTCTACCGAGGGAGGGACTGGTACTAAGAAGAGGGGTGCAAGGGGGACCGGGTGGGACGCGTGCGGGTGAAGTCGGTAGTAACAGACCGACTCGTCAAAGGTGACATCCTGAGAGGACAGAACACGACGCGAGGTAGGGTGGTAGAACTACCAGGGTGGAGTCTCGGTGGGGAAGCC